TTCCTTCGCTGAACGGGTTCATTGAGTACATTTGTTACCCCTCCTTTACTTCATTCACTGATCGGGTTCATTGAGTACATTTGTTACCCGTCCTTTACTTCATTCGCTGATCGGGTTCATTCAGTACATTTGTTACCCCTCCTTTACTTCATTCGCTGATCGGGTTCATTCAGTACATTTGTTACCCCTCCTTTACTTCATTCGCTGATCGGGTTCATTCAGTACATTTGTTACCCATCCTTTACTTCATTCGCTGATCGGGTTCATTCAGTACATTTGTTACCCATCCTTTACTTCATTCGCTGATCGGGTTCATTGAGTACATTTGTTACCCCTCCTTTACTTCATTCGCTGATCGGGTTCATTCAGTACATTTGTTACCCATCCTTTACTTCATTCGCTGATCGGGTTCATTCAGTACATTTGTTACCCGTCCTTTACTTCATTCACTGATCGGGTTCATTGAGTACATTTGTTACCCCTCCTTTACTCCATTCTTTTGTCGGGTTCATCGAGTACATTTGTTACCCGTCCATTCTATGATCGGGTTCATTGAGTACATTTGTTACCCCTCTTTACTCCATTCTTTTGTCGGGTTCATCGAGTACATTTGTTACCCGTCCTTTACTTCATTCACTGATCGGGTTCATTGAGTACATTTGTTACCCGTCCATTCACTGATCGGGTTCATTGAGTACATTTGTTACCCCTCCTTTACTCCATTCTCTAGTCGGGTTCATCGAGAACATTTGTTACCCGTCCATTCTCTGATCGGGTTCATTGAGTACATTTGTTACCCCTCCTTTACTTCTTCTGATCGGGTTCATTGAGGGTTACCCGTCATTCATTCGCTGATCGGGTTCATTCATTTTGTTACCCCTCCTGTACTCCATTCTCTAGTCGGGTTCATCGAGTACATTTGTTACCCGTCCATTCTATGATCGGGTTCATTGAGTACATTTGTTACCCGTCCTTTACTTCATTCACTGATCGGGGTTTATTGAGTACATTTGTTACCCCTCCTTTACTTCATTCTCTAGTTCATGGAGTACCTCCAGTTATTTATTGGTCAATATTGTAAAAGCAAGCAATAAAAGCTCACACAACTGTCAGATATTTCAATACATGTCTGTTCTGTTTCAATTGTGTGCTTGTACAAATGTTTGTTATTTAACAAGCAACAGTATCATATCAAACGCTCCGAAACCTCTACAAACAGTATAGAGGAAGGCGATCGGCTTCTGTTGCTTAGCATGTTAGTCGACCATGGACGGCAAAACAATCAACTCCCTGCGGTAAAATAAGTCTTAGAGAGGAGACAGCTAGTGGAAAACAGATGTAGAATATTTCACATTCTCAGGTTTAAAGTAATGTGCATCTTTGATCTCCAGGTACATATCATATGAGAAATCGATCGCCTTCAGTGTAGTTCTTTTTCTGTTGGAGATTGATATTGGTCGCCTCAATGAAGAAAAACCCGTAAAAAATCTTATCCCATGAAGTATGGAAACGATATGTGCACATTTCGTGTCGTTCAGCTGAATATAATTCCCTGATTTCCCATTGGTCACGTGGTATGGTCGCCCCTGGTCATATTTCCCTGATTTCCCATTGGTCACGTGGTATGGTCACCCCTGGTCATATTTCCCTGATTTCCCATTGGCCACGTGGTATGGTCATCCATGGATATGTCATGAGTTATTTTCAAGATACGCCACTTATTTTCCGGAGGGGAACATTTCCCTGATCTCGCATACATTATATTTTGCACTGGGATAATGTCCTCTGCTGGACTAATTCACTGATGTCACATAGATTATTTTACTTACATGGGTATGAGTGAAATAAAGTGAGGACAACCCGATAAGAACGATTCGTATACGGGAATACTTTCTCTCAAGGGGATTAACTGTTTTTCATTTTTCATAACCTTCTCTACCAGTAAATATTGCTGATATTGCAATGCTTAACAATCCTTAATCCCCGAGATCACGAAGTTACACCCCGGGTTTCTTAACATCTGGGGTCAAGAACGTACACCCCTCTTTCCTAAATCCCCGACGTCCCATAAGAATACCCCTCCTTTCTTAATCTCTGACATCCCTATGGAACACCCCTCCTTTCCTAAATCCCCGACGTCCCTAAGGAACACCCCTCTTTCCTAAATCCCCGACGTCCCTAAGGAACACCCCTCCTTTCTTAATCTCTGACATCCCTAAGGAACATCCCTCATTCCTTAATCTCTGACATCCCTAAGGAACACCCCTCATTCCTTAATCTCTGACGTCCCTAAGGAACATCCCTCATTCCTTAATCTCTGACATCCCTAAGGAACACCCATCGTTCCTTAATCTCTGACATCCCTAAGGAACACACATCGTTCCTTAATCTCTGACATCCCTAAGGAACACCCATCGTTCCTTAATCCCTGACATCCCTAAGGAACACCCCTCCTTTCATTATCCCTGACATCCCTAAGGAACACCTGTCCTTCCATTATCCCTGACGTCCCTAAGAAACTCCCCTCCTTCCTTAATCTTTGACGTCCCTAAAGAACAACCCTCCTTCCTTAATCTCTGACATCCCTAAGGAACACACATCGTTCCTAAATCCCAGACGTCCCTAAGGAACACCCCTCCTTCCTAAATCCCTTACTTCCCTAAGGAACATCCCTCCTTCCTTTATTCCGTACGTCCCTAAGGAACACCCCTCCTTCCTTAATCCATGACGTCCCTAAGGAACATTAATCTCTGAATGTCCCCAAGGAACACCCCTCCTTCCTTAATCTCGGACGTCCCTAAGGAACACCCCTCCTTTCTTAATCTCTGACATCCCTAAGAAACACCCCTCCTTCCTTAATTCCTTACGTCCCTAAGGAACATCCCTCCTTCCTTAATCCCAGATGTCCCTAAGGAACACCCCTCCTTCTCTAATCCCTGACGTCCCTAAGGAACACCCCTCCTTCCTTTATTCCTTACGTCCTTAGGGCCCGCCCCTCCTTCCCTAATCCCTGACGTCCCTAAGGAACACCCCTCCTTCCTTAACCCCTGATGTCCCTAAGGAACATCCCTCCTTCCTTAATCCCAGATGTCCCTAAGGAACACCCCTCCTTCATTTATTCCTTACGTCCCTAAGAAGCATCTCTCCTTCCTTAATCCCAGATGTCCCTAAGGAATACCCCTCCTTTCCTAATCCCTGACGTCCCTAAGGAACACCTCTCCTTCCTTTATTCCTTACGTCCCTAAGGCACACCCCTCCTTCCCTAATCCCTGACATCCCTAAGGAACACCCCTCCTTCCCTAATCCATGACGTCCCTAAGGAACATCCCCCTTGCTTTATTCCTTACGTCCCGTAGATATCATTCTCCCTGGGATATTTTCCTATACAGTTGGTAGCAGTGCTTTCTGTACCCCCATGGATTTATTCCAGTGACATATCGATCGTCCTTCCAAACCTCCGTCTTGGCACACAAGTCAAATTTTGATGAAAATCGGCAAACGAGTGTGAAATGAAAACATGACGGAAGATTGTTTAATATAGAGTTCTGTCAATATCTGTATCTGAATTCTGCATATATATATGACTATCTCTCCATCACGCTTGAGGGATATATATATATACATATGGTGATTAGGTCATTTCCTTACAAATAATCTGCAGTTATGACGAACCATACACGTTAGTCAATCACAGATCGTCGGCGTTTCCGATTTAGAAATTAACTATTTGTGTTTTGTATCAGACAGCATGCTGATCTGCTGCTAAAATAATATAAATATCCACGCTAGGTCGACTAAAGACAGAAACCTTTGGGCAATGACTAATGGAAAGTTTTCACTTAGATGAAGATAACCATCATAAGTTAACACAAACCAATCAATAACTCTGTTAAAGTTTAAAACCTTAGCTACCAAAGACAATTTTCATTTTGTTACCCATTAATCGTCAATTTTTTTGTAGTTACTATTAAGTAATTGATACGTGGCGAGATATCGAAGTACTACAATACGGCAAATGTGTTTCCAATAAGACGCACTACTGATGACCATCAGTTGTGTGATAGATATGTAATGCATTAGCTCACCTGTTCAGTGTGTTTTATTTTCCTGTTTAACGAGATCATCGATCGAACACATCAATAGATTTGACGGGAATGCAGACGCCGATCTACCGTTCCAATATACCATACATTACTCATATAGCGGTTGACATCTGTTGCTTGCACTCACAACTCATTCACGCCCATCCCTCCCGAGGGGGTTCCTAAAGTACCGACCATTGTATCCAGCGTGTGTTAGTATTCAGGTAGGTAACCAGCATACCATTGTGTCTGAAACACCTCAAATGGAAGAGTTCATCCAACTAAGCTTCACTCAGCTGACATCAAAATCGAAAATCGCCGTAGTGCTTAAAGGACAGAATTTCAACGGAGCTGAGAAACAAGTTGGACGTATGTTCTGGCGTGAAACTGAATTATGACATTATACGGATCTACAATCTGGAGAAAGTATTGTTAGGATAATAGAAATCAGTGAACGCCATTCACAATACTGTGTTCAGCTTTCTAACCGAGGCCATGCAATCCGTTTACTTTAATCAAACCCGTGTGAAATTAGTGTCAGGAAACGTTTAAAGACGTTAGTTGTAGCGACATGGTCAACGGTAGTGTCTGTGACGGCATTCTATACACAGATATGCTTTCAAATAATTCAATAAGATATATCGTTGATAGAAGAGTAGAGAGTATGATGTAGACTTTCGTACCCGCCACCAGCGTCATTGACAACTAGAGCAGTGTGCTATTCAGATGTACGTGCGAACGGGGTTGAGCAGGACCCTGGCTCTAGTTGTGCTTCTGTGTCGTGGTGCCGTTCACAGCAGCGCGCAACATGAAAGTACAAGTTTCGTTCTTCGTGTTTTACGTTTCAAGCTCATGCAAAAACTTATATAGCAAAAAGTATCCTTCCACGAGCTATGGAAATAACGTATTTCAACCAAAATGGCCCGCGATCTGTGTGGATTAAAACTGCTATTGGATTACATATGTATCTCTTTGGCGATCTCCGTTTGTGGTGTTTGTTCTCAAATCAGAATTCTAGGAATCTGTGATCAGAAATTAGTAAGCATGTGTTACGGAACATTTCAAAGACATTTCCAAGAGAATGTATACTCCTCCACAGGAGTAAATATTACATGGGAGGTGTTTGAGGGCAGTGATGATTTTGATTATAATTTGAGGAGTCTCGCAGGATTAAGACTACCAGGTGTTTGGGATGTAGCATTTGCGTTTGGTAATAGTTCTGTTGTCAATGCGGCGGCGACATTCGCTAAGTCTGATCAAATCCCGCTTTTCGTTTATGATACATCAAACACGAAAACGCCGGTAAGTGACTTTTTAAAAATACTTTTTAATAATTACATATTTTAATTATCTATATTTCCAGTCAGCATTTGTAATCACCATACCCCAGAATGCACTAAAGACGTTGTCGTTACCCCATAATTGGTCGCGGTGGGGGGATGTTAGATTTATATGAAGAAAGTTTTATTAATTGATATACAAAATGGTGATGTTGAATCCATCATAAAAGTTCTGAAAAAAAGAAAAGTTTAATTTTAGTTTCGTTCGCGCACTTATGATGATGAGGATACCATAAAAACATTAACATTTTTACATAACAATCATTTCACGTTCAGCTTAAGATATCTCGTGTTTGATATAGGCACATTGTCTTATACAAAAATAATATGTTTATATTTGATATTATCATTAAATTAAATCAAAACTTCAAAGCAAAAGGTATATTGGGAATTAAGAATGTTTTGAACATACATCACGATTCACAGTGTGCTTGGTGAGCTACTCGGCGAGCTTTCTGCAGTTTTACAATTTTGTCGGGTAAGAGATGTTGTCAACAGGATCATGACGTATTAAGCTTCAGACAAATCTGTGGTTGTGATAAGAATTATTTTTAAAACAAATTAACCCACAGTGTCCTTATCGGCGCCTTGACAAACATCTACGTTTTCATTGCGTTGATTGGTAGACTATAAAGTTAACATTCCATAAGACAATAGCGAGATATATGTATCACTTTAAATAAGTGTTTTTAAGTATTTGTATTACAAAATCATCAAAATAAAATACTTCACTGATAATAAAATGTAACGACTATGTTAGATCATAATTTATAATATTTTATCACGTGTTGGTATAATATAAAGACTTTGTCACAATATATCTCTCAACATTTTATCACGTGTCGGTATAATATAAAGACTTTTTCAGAATATATCTTTCAACATTTATCACGTGTTGGTATAACATAAAGACTTTGTCAGAATATATCTTTCAACATTTTATCGCGTGTCGGTATAATATGATGTTCTTGCTGTTTATTGTACAATATATTCATAAGGAATTAGTGCAAACAATTATAGTAGTCAGATTTAAAGCAGCATTTGGTGGAAACACTTTGCTACATTAGATCCGTCAGAATAAACGGTCGCATCGTCCTTTATCAAAACTATAGCACGTGAATGTATAGCTAATGAACAACTGGTGTTTGTGAAGTCTACTCACATTTTACCTGTATCCCATATTTACAACTCAGTATTGATACTGAAACGTGAACACGCCAAGTCATTCTGGTAAAAAAATTGTCTACTTAAACTTCCGTTGATCTTAAAATATATGTTTTTCGCGACACTTTGTTTGGAGATTCCAAACTCTTAAAAACCGTTCGAGACCTCTCGAGACACATGGTAACAATGACTAACGTACGTTCCTTGAGAGAAAAACTGTTGTGAAAAAAAATCTTGAAATTTTTCAGAAATTCTTTATCGGACATGGAATATCCGTTCTCTCGATCTTTCTTTTTTAAAGCGATACCGAACATTCTAAAAAAGACATTCTTTAGTTGACAACATTAAATAAACACATGTATCCGAAACGAACGCGCCCACGTCACTATCCACGTTTCTCGAGAGAAGAGGTCGGGCTGTTATCAAACGTAAGACTTCGCACTCTCTCACGTGCTGACGTTCAAATATATTTAGTACGAAACATCTGGTTTGGAAGTTCATGGAGTCTGCTAGTGTAGGTATTTAGCGTTTCAGTAAACTATCATAAAACTAACCAGAATATTTGTGATAAAACTTGTTTGCGGGAGTGGGCATGTTGTATGATGGATGTTTTCAATGTAATGTAATTTATCAAAACGGTACCCAATACGTCATTATTTGTATGGTAGGCCAAGTGTCAGGGGGATAATCGATATTTCCTGCTTTAAAGGTGTGTTAGGTTAAAAAACAACCTTCTTTAAAGTACATAATTAAAACATATCACACCTTCACGATTAATCAAACACCAAAGAATGAATTGGTTTTCCGTCAATAATTTAAGCGATATGGGAATGTAATATGCACTCGAACAGGTGTAAAACTGCTGTTAAAACTACACACTAATCATCGTTATAGCACAGTCTCCAGTGTTGACATGCCAATAAATAGACACACCTGTAATCACCAGCAGTCTGGCCTAGCGCTGAATGTTATGCGTAATGATAAGTCGTCTAGGTTATTTCTTGGTCAGAAACGAGAAGGATACTAATGGCGCTAGCGGTCAATTGGGCAAACAGTAGGCAAGTCGATCATCGCCGTATTTGTGTACATAACGGCGCCATTATCAACAGTGGTTTACACGCTGTCATTATCCTTCATCTCGGGGTTTTCTTAATAGCATCTCCTAAAATGTATAGGCTGAGATATGCTTACAGGGACCAATCTTAAGATTATGGAAGAAGTATTTCCGGGTCTGACGGACAACTGAGAATTTATGTAAATAATGGATATGATTTGCTGGATACTGTTCAGATTTATTATTCAATACGTTTGGACACAGTATTAGAGTTAGTTTTCAGAAAAAATATACTGAGTCTAACTTTAGAACATATATGTAGTATGGTGATTCTCAGGGAGATGCTATGGGTCGGTACTGAAGGAAAGAGGTTTGATATTTAGGTCAGTCTGATCCACGCTGAATCCTGAGGATGACATTTTATGTAGAGAAAAGTACCCCACTGTGTTTAGAATTTGTCAGTTATTATTTAAAGACTTATAAAGGTTTTTAAGTCTAGTCCTATTGTAAACCTCTTGATTGATAACCACGTGGCAGTGCACGGATAACTACAATGCAATGACGAGACACACCTTCGACCAGATGTAAAACGTAGCCACCAGTTATTGTAAGCTATAATTCCACCCTTTCATACATGGTTTAAGTCGGAAATTGAAAGATGGCTTTTATTCAGAGAAGATGAATGTATATTAGTGTATATATAAACGATTTTTTTCAACTACTTTTTTTTTACATTGAGATGTATAGATTTGCATCCATATCGTGCATAACAAACGTCATCACGCGTGCTGAAAGTAAAAAACAAAAACAAAAAAACCCACAAAACTGTACTTTACTAGTGAAACATTATGATCTTTGATTTGTAGATAAGGGGCATAAGATTGACGGAGGAGGGAAAAAATTACGCTGACAAGAATATATAATTTAATTTGACCTTTAAGTCTGATTAGTAGATCGAACGACGGTTTCGAAGGATTCATGGGTTTCATTACCGAAAACTGACAAAGCATCGAGTCAATAGTGTCTATCAGAAAGAAAGCAGAAACGTAGATGGGGGTCAGGGTTGAGATTGTCCGTCAGCGTGGGGCCGGACTCTCCTTCCATTAAGATGCTCCGATAAGGAACTGATGGAAGCTAATGGACACACGGAACCGCTCTGAGACGATGGGTCAGCCAGAAAAGTAATTTGACCACCGTCCATTCGTCATGCAGTGTTTCGGGATGTCTGATATCTGATTGGTGTAATCTGCCAAGCTATCGATTGTATTTTAGAAAACATTGACATACTATTTTTGCTATGAAAGTATCAGTATATATATATCCTAAACAATGAGAAAGGCTGTAGCATTATGATAATGGTCCACTTTACCTGTATATCTGTTAGCGATACGTTTGGTCCACTTTATTTTTCTATAGTATAACACGCAATAAATTCGGACCCCAAGTCATCGAGAGTATTTACTCCAGAAAGAAGGAAAATGTGCCAGCAATGATTGGCTTACTGCATAAATAACTGTATACCGAACTGCTAATGGACACTCACTATTATTCCGAAAGCTTTCGTGATAACATGTTGGTTTCCAAAACGATCTCCATGTTTTCATTGTATTGGTATTGAATAGCTTACAACGGAAAATCACAAAAAAGAGCTTCATGGGAAGAACAGACAGACTTGTGACACCGTATTTCAATAGATTGGCAAGTAAAATGAAAACGATATCTTCAAGAGGATTGGTCGACGATTTAGCGACATACTTACATCTCAGATATTCAAATGATATTAGAAGTGCTGAAGGACAACGTGAAAACATCAAAGTGCAAGACGGACATCTGATAGACATTATAACGCGGACTTTAAAGTAGAAGACTGACTTCTGACGGACAAGGTTATAACGCGGACTTTCAAGTACAAGACGGACTTCTGACGGACAAAGTTATAACGCGGACTTCCGACTACAAGACTGACTTCTGACGGACAAAGTTATAACGCGGACTTCCGACTACAAGACTGACTTCTGACGGGCAAAGTTATAACGCGGACTTCCGACTACAAGACTGACTTCTGACGGGCAAAGTTATAACGCGTACTTTCAAGTACAAGACGGACTTCTGACGGACAAAGATATGACTCGGACTTTTAAGTCCAAGACTGACTTCTGACGGACAAAGTTATAACGCGGACTTTCAAATAGAAAACTGACTTCTGACGGACAAAGTTATAATGCGGACTTTTAAGTACAAAACTAACGTCTGACTAGTAACTTTTTTTAATAGAACAATAAGAACGACATGATATGTTATTTAAAACTCTAGATAAACAGGTGTACATTCTCTCTATTTGATTTCCATAATTTTCTTGTCGCTTCCAGAACGACTTCTCTGTAAACACTCTCCATTGCGAACAAGAGAAAACTTGGCTATTTCTAAACACGCTTTACAAATACCACTACAGCCACAAATTCACGGATGTTTCTGAAACTGAAAGGTAGTATTTAAATTGAAATATGGAATTTTAGGGAAAGGTATTTGATCAAATTAATATCAACAAATAATAACACTTTCCAAGGGACGAATTTCAGTTCAGAAAATTAAAAAAGAAAAAGAAACCAACAATCGTGAAGTTGGGCCATTTGTGACTTTGAACAAATGGTACAAGAGCGTGAACCAGCTATCAATGAGTTAATAAGTTTTGACATCACTTTTTTCTTATATCAAAGGATATTTACATGCATGTTGGTATATGC